ATGTAATATAGGCTGTCTTGCAATGAGCACTCATACAAAGGATTTCCAGTGGAAACTAGATGTATGAGTACTCATTGCAAGACACCGTATATCACGTGATATACGCTGTAATATGAACGAGGTATAATAGTACGTTCAGACAATGGCTGATATCATGTAATATAGGCTGTCTTGCAATGAGCACTCAAACGTCAAATTTTCACTGGAAATCATTTGTATGAGTTTCGATATCAAGATAGCCTATATTACATGATATCAGCTATAGTATGATAGTCTGAACGTACCATAATGCATTTTGTGCGGTTTTTAGTTTTACGAACAGGCATTTGAATAACAATGTTTGCATGGGTATAACTTTTTTGTTTCATAATTAAATTGACTGAAATTTTCACAGTAAGTAGAAAGATGTTCGAAATTATGGTCTACTGAAAATCGAAACAGATTGGCCAAGTGGTTCAGGTTTTATTCCGGGTTTCCGAGAGGCCATCGGGGGGAGAAAAGGTACCAGTCGTCTAGAGCAAGGTGATGCTGGAAATGCACAGCAACAGGCATCTATGGGTAGTGCTGATTAATATTTTAACAAAACAACCTGGTACAGGTGTGGAAACTACCTCCCTGGCGCCTGTAGCATTGGAAAACAAGATCGACGGAAAACAAATCAACGAAAAAAAAAACTTGTTCTAAATACTGAGTGCCCACTGGAAGGCCATTTGGTGACCCGGATCAACCTTAATATTTATTTGTATTAAGGTGTATTTTTGATCAACGATGATTATTCTTCTGCAGCTATATGAAATTAAGTAAAATGGTGATTTTTTATATATCAGCTTGTCATTGGCTCTGAGTGGTCATCCCGACCCGCTGAAAGATTCGGAACATCCGTAAAATTGATTGTTGCGCAAATTTGATCAAAGTAGACCTTGCTTTTTTGCCACTATATGGAATGAAGTAAAATGGTGATTTTTGAGTTTTAAGCTGGTCATTGGCTTCTAGTGGTCATCAAATGGTTCACCAGAAGATTCGTAAAATCTGTCAAATTGATTGCTGTGTTAATTTGATCAAAGTATGCCTTTATTTGTGTCTGCAACTACATATATGAAATGCAGTTAAAATGTGATTTATTATATATTATATATTAGGTCATTGGATCTAAGTGATCAACAGATAGACCGCCGGAAGATCCGAAACATCCGTAAAATTGATTGCTACGTAAATTTGATCACACAGCAAAAAAATAATTTTGATATCACATCAAAGTGGATGCACTACAATCATGTCGAAAATTTCATGTAATTTTTATGACCACATAAATAAACAAATGCAGTAAAAGCAGCTTAATGTCAGTTCATGCATTGAATTGATATCAAAATTATTTTTTTGCTGTGCACAGTATGCTTAGATTTGTTCTGATACTATATGGAATGTAGTAAATTTGCGATTTTTGATATATTAGCTGGTCATTAGCGCCGGGTGGTCACCAGATGGCCCACCGGAAGCTCCCGAACATAAGTAAAATTAATTGCTACGTAAATTTCATCCAAGTAGGCCATGACTTTTCTATGCAACTATATGGAATGTAGTAAATTGTGATTTTTGTTACATAAATGTTTGTAATTGGTTCTGAGTGGTCATCAAATGACCCACCGGAAGACCCGTAAGATCCATAAAATTGATTGCTGTGTAAATTTGATCAATGTATGCATTGCTATATTTACAGGGGCCTGCCTAGTCAGTAAAGGCACGGTACGACCAAGCTGGAGGCAGGTTGTTCAATTCCCAGTCTGGTCGAGGAAATATTTCGGGTTGGAAATTTTCAGACTTCCCTGGGTTAAATAGTATCATTGTGCGTGCCACACAAAATACAATGTTAAGCATTGGTTGGCTTAGTCACCTCTCAATTAATAACTTTGGAAGTGCGAGATGGAAAATGACAGGTGGGCAGGAACTCACGGTCTCCCAGTGCTGGTGAGTTCTTTGCCGTTAATGTTCACGGAAAGTTCACTATTTTGCCATACAGAAAATCAAAACAGAAAATTTTATGGACGAATTAGAACAGTTTTTTACCTGTTTCATATGACCGGAAGGTGTATGCTGGTCACAAATGCCGTGCCAAACTGATTTCCTACGCAATTAATCAACCTTTGATGTGAATTTCGCTAATAAACACGAGGAGCATTTCTTAAAGCAAAACTTGCCGTAACAAAATGGGCATAGTTCATTTTAGTAAACAAACTAACACTTCTTCCTACTGTGTCACCTTTCTATTTCCCGCTTAGGTGGAAGTGCATCTATAACAATCAGTTGAGAGCCGTTGCGAGGTCACTTCTATTCACAATAAGCCTCACATGTATGCATCACCATTATCAAATGGATATTGGTATTAAAGACACACTTCCAGGTTCGAACATATTCTTTTCAAACCTGGCACTGATGTGTTCCACGACATTTCAACGTAAGTCCATTAACTTTGAATGATGATCTTGAGTTCCTAGTCGCGTAGCCTAGTTACACCAGCGCGGAAAATAGACAGTGTCCATCTCCGGGTATTTTCTTACCGATCATCATTCCATTGTCATATCGCATGTGCTCTATTTTGCTGATCTCCATTAACTTTTACTTTGTTGACTCCATGGTATCGGAAAAGATATAAATATATATATATTATTAGCAAGGCTGTGATATAACCACAACAATATGGCACGATTTAAAACATTTCAATGCAACATTAAATTTTTTAGCTGATAATTATTTCACTCCATCAGAAATATAGCAAAATTGTTCTTTGTGATATAAATGCATATCATAAACTCTAGGTTTTCACCTAATAGTCTTCCACAAAATTGTGAACAGCAATAACATTAATTGCTTTGTATGTTTGGTTGAAGAATGGAGTGATTTTACTCTGCAACAATATTGAAGGTATCAAAACGGTGCTTTTGAGAAATTAGATGGCCATAGACTCTGAGGGTGCGTCCGGTAGACCTTAAACGTCCGTTAGATGAATTGCATCAAATGTGTGTTTGAGGGAATCTATGGAATTTTCTCTAGAACTATATCAAGTACAACAAAGGGTGATGATAGACTCTGAGTGATAACTGCGTGAACCACTGGAGGACATGGAACATCTGTAAAATTGATAATATCGTATATTTGGTCTTAAAATACTAGGCATTTCTCACTAGAATATTACCAAAAAAAACAACATATATTACACATTATAGGATGCACCAAATGGAAATTTTACTTAAATCTACCTTTCCTTTATTTAACGTCGGTCTCTGTTCGGCAATCTAGTGCCAATCACCGACGGACATCGATTGCCATCCATTGACGGCAATCGAATGTGCAGGAAGGCAGCTTCCACACCTGCGTAGGATATCGCACCCATTCAAACACACATGGGTCGGGACCAACGGCTTTACTTCCTTTCCGAAGGAAGACCAGAGATTTTTATGCCTCAGAAAAATCCCACCGACCTCGGCTGGGATTGAACTCAAACCCATTGGGGTGAGAAAGCAGTCACGCTTACTTATTTTACTTAAATCAAATCATAACTTACAAACGGTTTTCCATATGAAGCTGAAACACTCTAGTATGCCTAACGTATTTATGCCTAATGGGGTACACTCGAATAATGTGCTTATTCCAACCCCTTTCGTGGTGACTAGCTCACTAGCAACCGCAAAACACATGCCTCTACATATGTTCACAATTGAATCAGTGAGTACCACGGCTTCAGCCTCCCCGAGACCCTTTTTTAAGCACGGAGTTTTTCCAAAGAAAGTTAATCGGAAATGAAAGATGCTCTATGAAAAGTGAAGTATCAGAAAATGAGAATTGAAAGTAATTCATTATCCCATGCTTGTAATAGTTAGGGTCTCGGGGGGCAGAAGCTGTTCTTCTCCCTATTTGAGTGCATTCTTCGCTGATCATCAAGACACGCACTTGAAACAGATAAGTCAAAGCATTGCGGGTGAGCTGGACAACAACCGACATCGGTTTCAACAGTAACTGTAACACAGTGCTCCCCACAACAATATCTTTATCTGTAAATAGCAATTAATTAGCTTTTCATCGCATCGCCAAAAGCCCGTTTGCTTAGAGAAGTTCATGAACCAGCGAAGACATGATGTAATTCCTCGAAAGATAGAGCTGTTATTGAAAAATACCCGATTCCACAGCTGTTTGACTCAGATCAAGTGTGTGTAAACAGAATCTATCTTCTGCCATGACATGGTGGTCGAAGCAATTTCGAAACACACCAATCGGACGGACGTAAGCACTTTCAAGGTTGACTTGACACATATGATAATGGGCCAGTCCGCCCATGCATTGATAAATGCACTACAAATGAGTGGCGAAGGCGGTGGCGGCGGCGGAGGTTTCCGACAAGCGTGCTCTCCGTTTTGTGCATTGATGAGCCCACGCGTTCAATCGTATACATATTTAGATTTTGCGATGATTGATCTGTGCTATGGAGCTTGGCAAACCGTAAGCAAACACTGTATAAGGGATGTTACTGTATGAATGAAACAATTGATTTATTAATTTGCTTTCTTTTATTTAGATTCTACTTGAGTCAGTGGAATTACTAAACAACAGCACGTTATCTAAATATGTGTAAATGAATTTCTGTCTGTCTGCCTGACCCTTATAGACTCGGAAACTACTGAACCGATCGGCGTGAAATTTTGTATGCAGGGGTTTTTGGGGCCGGGAAAGGTTCTTATGATGGTTCGAGACCCCTCCCTTCTCTGTAAGGGGGGACTCCCATACAAATGAAACTGAAAAATATAGCATGCTTTTTTGGAATCGGCGTATAAACTCAAGCTAATATTGAATCCCGAGCAAGGCCGGGCACACTCAGCTAGAAATATACAAAATGATACAAATACATAATTTATTGACTGAAATTCATAAAAGAAAAAGATAATTAAATTTCACATTAAATTTGTTTAAGCCTCCCCTAACGGTGTATGCAATTTTATTATTTTTTCCAGATTTGAGACTCAGTATAGACATCAATCCACATGTACTGGACTAATGCGAATCTAGACAATACGTGTGATTGAAGGAAACTAAAAAAAAATCCAAAGATGGCTGACCACGACCAAAAACATACATACATTTCTCCGGGAATCTCCAGGGAACGAAGCTTTATCCGAACTTCAAACCAGCAGGTAATGGACATGGTAATAATCCTTTCTGTCCTATCAAGATGCATCTATATTTACTAATTCATCGTCTTTTCTTCTAAAACGTAATCTTCAAAAGCAATTGGTGGAGGTATTTTTGTTTTAAAATTCTTATTCCTGCATGTAGTCACAAAGTTTTAAACAACAAACTACTAGTTGTAAATCTTTGCTTATTTTTAACAGAACGCCAACAAGAGACGCAGCCTGGCCTTCACCCAGAGCCAGGCGATGCAACATGCCCAACAACAACAGTTGCGTGGTAAGCCACCGATGGAAATCTATCGTCCACCAAGTAACACTTGCTACTAACCGTAACCTTTTCATGAAAAATCTGTAACTTCTACCGCCCGTAGATGTTCGCATGGATGGACTTCAGAACAAGCTCAACGTGCATGCGCAGGAGTTTCAGATGAACAACCTACCCGACGGTCGCATACCGTTGCACAATTCCAGGTTTGTCCGTTTGATCTGCACCACTTCCGCGAATGAGTGTTTTCATCTACTTGAATCCATTCCAGATCTCTCAACATTTACAGCAGCTCCTTGCAGCACTCGAAATCGAACGCCAGCATGCCGCTGAACATGCATCCTCGAGCACATCAAATGCAACTGGGCAACATCGGCAGTCCTCAACGGGGACCGATCATGATGTCTACCCATCCGATGCAGCACGCCGGAGTACAGCTGCAGTCCTCCCATATGCCATTGGTTAACTCGCCGTCCAGCGGAAACATTCTGCACGTGAGTTAATCGATTCAAACCCAAATCAGCTTATTCAAGCATTCATCAACCAATAGAGTAAAACGTTGTTGCTTATCTTTCGCTTTTGTGTCGTTCGCAGTCTGGACCACGAGTTAAATTCGCTCCGGAGCCTATGGTACACGCAAACAACAGCTTCCAAGCACAAAACAACAGCAACACATCCACCAACCAACAACTATCACCATCCGCCATGTATCAACAACAGAGCAACAACAACAACAACAATCCCATGAACCTTGCACCTTTACAGCGTTCCAAGTCACTCTCGTCCGCGGACACGTTGACGCGTGGATTGGCTGGGTTGGGACTTGCCGTGGGACCGGAAGCCAACGACATTGGTCAGTTTTCGCCGGAGATACAGCTAATCCTTGCCAAAGCGGTCGAAGATCCGAACCAGTTGAACGCTCGCTGCCTGATGGAGCTGGCCATGCAGCTGATGCATCGTGCGGTGGATGGGCGAAGGTAAGATTACTAGATTTGATTAATTTATAGATTTTGCTAATTTAAATTATGGCAAACTCTTTAAAATGAGATTATTTCCTGCTGAATCTTTTTGGATATACCGATTTCAACAATTTCGTGTATATCAAATTTTAATTAACATATTAAGGAGTCTGTTTTCCCTCAAATGTTGGATTTGATGTAAATTACAATGGAAAAATTAAAAAAAAACTCTTTCTTCGTTGATTGTATTGCTAATTCTAGACTATTATATTTTCATCTAACTTGTGCTTTTGATCACTTTACGAATTACCTATGTACCTTCAGCATCATAATCATAACTGCACAACATTTCTCAAACTGCCTAAACTGGGGACATTTGGGTTGGGTGAGGTTTTTTAGAAAAATTTGAATTTCTTTGACCTCATGAAATTTTAGCATATTCTACTGTAACAGCAGGTCGCAACTTATTATCAAAAGGAACCTCGCGGAATCGAATGGATTACAGTAATTCAAGACCAACAATTGAAATGGCCTTAACTCCATTTTGTAAACAAACCTTGTAAGGCCATTTTCTCGCGAACCGAAGTCCGCAAAGGTAAACCAACATAATGAACAGGTAGGGGAAATTCTCTTCTACCCGTTTGTGGTTTAGGTTTGCAAACAAGGTTTGTTTACAAAATAAAGTTAAGGTAATTTCAATTGTTGGCCTTGAATTACTGTAATCCATTCGATTCCGCGAGGTTCCTTTTGATAACAAGTTGTGACCTTCTGTTACAGTAGAATATGCTAAAATTTCATGAGGTCAAAGAAATTCAAATTGTTCTAAAAAACCTGTAATGCAGAATTAGATGCCGTCACGATTGAACGCGCATGTTTAAAAAACGTTGATCCATGTACCTATCGTATAAATTTGCATATCATCTAGTTATGGTTATTGTCAATAATACTTACATTTCGATAAAGATGATGCTACCTATTTTACCTTATATGTGATACTTATAATCACAGAATCCCACTGACAGACCATGTCCATCAACAATATTCTCGTTCCGAGAAGGGGGTCATGGTACCACTCACCCTGTATAGTCATCTTCTTCTTCTTCAGGTTCGCTCACCACTCGGAATGAACATTGAGTGTGGTTAGTAATATCAAATAGTGTTATATGCAAACGAAAAAGAGGTACAGGAAGGATTAGTTTTTTAAAGTAATAGTTTCATCTAAATACCCAACCAACCATATCTCAGTGACATTGTCTCACTCTGAACCTACATTTAAAGTTTTTTTGTGATTATATGGTTACTTTGTTACTCACATGAAATGTTGTGCAAGTACCATAAGTTCAACAACGCCAAACTATGGACAGCTCAATGTAAATACCATTTACTCTTTGAATCAGCGTACACCAACATGATAATCTACTGAGAAACACCTAAGAATGTATAGAGATAAAGCCCAAAATTACAATTTTAACTGATGGTACTTTATAAACATTAAACTGTCCAATATTGGACCCTGCCAACACATGACGCCTGCACGGTAATGTGGGCCGTCAGAATGGTTCATCGGTTGCCAAGTGAAGTGCTCAAACTGAAGCGATACATTTCTAATGTTTTTCCCATATGCCCGTCCACGCCCGAAACCCATCCACCACACAAAATCAAATAAAAATGTTTCTGTATGGCAAACACGTCCAGAAATAAACGAAAATATGGGTGTATATCTTCACTATAACAACTACTGGTAATCATCGAAAATACTTGCATTTTACTCAGGCACTGCAAACTGCAATACTCTCATACTCGAAATGTGCCACGACCAAATTTATCATTTTGTCAAGCTTCTGCATTTATGTTCCAGCTGTTGTTTGCTGTGACATCTATCGGAAACTAGCCACAATCTATTTTCCTATAATTGTTCACAGAGGACACTGCAGTACAAAACATGTCTGGTGCCTCTATATATGCATTTAGATTATTATTCGAAGTCCCTCCTTTTTTACACATTCTGCACACAAATTAGCTCACCTCTCACAGAATTTCTCGCCGAATTTTATGTATGGGGCGGGGCACAAAGTATCTTTTGCGCAAAATATGTAAAAAAGGAGGGACTTCAAATGTTAAAGCAAATGCATATATAGAGGTACCAGACATGTTGTGTAGTGTCAGGTACTCTATTTTGTAATCTGTGAAAGGGAAATCACAAATAGAGTGTCAACAAAATACATGGCATGTTGAGAAATTGAGGCCGTGAGAGAGAATTTCTCTCTCAAATTTGAATTTTTTTTGGCTCTCTGGGGACTGGTAGTAAAGCAGGTAAAATTGTATGGGGAAAAATCATTTTTATTTAATTGTAGCTCGTTTAACAATAATTTCCGGGAAAAAAAACTGAACGACAAAGTCCCTGCTTCATTTATTTAGGTTGTCGTTCACTTTTTTTGACCTGAATATGCACCGAAAGCGAATTATTCCCACTTCTCTCAATTTTTATATGGGGATTTTTATCACTTCCTACCAGCGGAACAGCGCCATCTCTGTGGAAAATGGTTGTACAAAATGATTAATTGGCACAACGACGCCCTATACGCTCTCTGACCAAAGCGCAGCTAATCCATGACAGATACGTATTTCGACTATAATGTGCAGTCAGTGTCATTCCCACTAAAGACCTAACCCCCTTAATTACTCATCCCCTAGGTAAAAATGTCAAGATCACAGGTATAAACATGAAACTACAACGTGTAGAATCGGAACCTACCAAACTAATAATAACCCAAGATTTAAGAAAAGAAGAAACATCCAATCAAATCTCTAATAAATAATGTTAACTGCAGCAGGAGCTTGTGTTTTATATAGGAATAGGAATTTGAGCGGCGTTCTCTCACTGACAAACCGACATGAATGACCGTTGGGTTTTCCCGAATCCGTGGCGTCGCTTCCGATGGGCAGATTGCTCGCCATGTGGTTCTTTGCCGGTGTGTACGGGCGGTCCACTTCGCCGAGCAGACGGTTGTGCGAGTCCTGACCGGCGGCGGCACGGCGTGGTGTTTCCGATACATTTCCGGCCTTCTCGCGGTCAAAGCATACTTCGATTCATCTACCATGACATTTCTGATCAATGCACAAAACTGACATCTGCCGCCGTGTTCAAGAAAAATGTGTATCCTAGCCACGAGCACGCGTACAAAATGTATGAGTTTGTTCGTGTCTAATCTATCGCGGACAATTTATTTTTATCTAGATAAAATAATTCTATGGTTTTGACAGATAGAATCGCTGCATATTTGAATCGGCCGTTATGGATTCTCGATCAAGAGTTAAGTTTAAGTTTCATGTCGGTTTGTCGGTGGTTCTCTCTGTTTATACTCTTTAGTAAGACATAGATGGCCCACAACGACTCACGAAGAGCTACTGATTCCGATCAACAGCGGTGTGGCTTCTTCCTCCTTGTATGGATTCTCATGTGGGCTGCAGCTCGCTGCTTGCAGGCAGCCTTTTGTTGTGTACTGGAGAACACCACTACTCACCACGCGGTGATTGAATAAACACCGTTTGGTGAGACCGGTTGGAATTTAAATTTGAAATCTGAGTTAGAGAAATCGCTTTTCGCAGGCAATCGGTGATAATTTTTACTATCATAACAACAGTTACACATTCGTGCAATTTTGCAGTAGTGTCATTTTGAAAGCCTTAAATTTAACAGATGCGATAAACCCTTAAATTTAACAGATGCGTAGAAATATTTCTGATCGATTGGTGATAAAATTATTTAAATTGGTCCAGGGGCAGCTGAGTTATTAACGTCAAAAATCTTTCATAATTTTGTTACATGTTCCATTTTCGGCTTTCACAAAGTATACCCCCATATAGAAATCACAGACGTAGTCATACGTCAAAAAAATCTACTCTTAACATGTAGACGTCAAAACTTTCCGAATCCGTCCACTAGGAGCGCTGTAATAACCGACAATAGCCTAGTTAGTAAAGGCACGGTATTATTAAGCTGGAGGCGACGAGTTCTATTCCCCGTCCGGTCGAGGGAATCTTGCGGGTTGGAAATTTTCTCGACTTCCCTGGGCATAGAGTATCATTGTGCTTGCCACACAATATACAAATTGGCATCGAAATTTCTTAATTAATAACTGTGGAAGTGCATTTAGAACACCAAGTTGAGAGCATGCAATAAGCTTTAAATGCAAATAAGAAGAAGGTTGTTCCATTTCTAAATGCTTCAAGATTTACGATTTAGTTGATAAAACATGACATCCGATTGATTGTCAATTCTGGACCACGTGACACTTAAGTAAAATACCTAATAAAAAAAGCCGGCGCCGGTGATGTAGTGGTAAGCGTGACTGCTTTCTCATCCCAATGGGTCTGGGTTCAATCCCAGTCGAGGTCGGTGGGATTTTTCTGAGGCATAAAAATCTCTGGTCACGTCTTCCTTCGAAAGGGAAGTAAAGTCGTTGGTCCCGGCCCATGTGTGTTTGAATGGGTGCGATATCCTAGGCAGATGTGGAAGCTACCTTCCAGCACATTCGGTTGCCGTCAATGGATGGTAGTCGATGTCCGTCGGTGATTGGCACTAGATTGCGGAACAGAGAGAGACGTTAAATAAAGGAATGAAGACCTAATAAAAAAATGGTGACACATGCAACTAAATCATCCAATAGTTCTTGTTCATCTGAGTATCTTGACTAAAGACTATAACCATGCATTTCATCGGGATCTCAATATAAAGTACAATACAAGAAATTAAATAGAAGGCTAGTGCCAGCTTTTTTTTTTTTTAATTAATTTAGTAGGGGGCGACCCCGGCGTAGTGGTTAACATCCATACCTCTCCCGCCAAAGTCACGAGTTCAAATCTCACCCCCGGACAAGTCACGAATGACCCAAGAGTGTTAAAGTGACTATAACAAAAAAAAATTAACTTAGAATTAAACTTTTCACCATTCAATAGGCACCTGGAGACATCTTTGTTGGAAACTACAACCAACCGGTGAACACTCGTGTTTATTTCAGTTACCGTGGGGACGTAATTTGTGATTAGCCCCGGTCCCTTTCAAATTGTATCATTATTTATGTACGGTCCTTATATTTGAAATGACGTTTCACATTCATCTACACTGAAACAAAGATAATAGTTAGGAATACTATTTTGCAGAAAACACTTATTTTCAGAATAACTACGTTTAAAACCGTTAAATCTACCATGATTTCAGTATAGTTGACTATAAATATAATCAAATTTACTACCATTCTGTCAAAACTACTATGCTTACTCAAACGGCATAGTAGTTTTGATAGAAAAAATAGTAAAATTAAATGAATTTCGTTTCTGCAAAAATCCATTGGTGGGAGTATTTAATTTAAACCATCAATATAGTATTTTTGCCAATGGATTTTGTTTCTGTGTAGTCATGGCCGATTTTCATTCGAATAATTGATAAATCGATTAACGAACCGAAAAGTAAAATATTTGTAATCGGTTATATCATGCCGATATAAGCATTACGGTTTCAAGATGATCATCACCGATCGTTTCAAACATGTGCTGCACTCTCATTGGTGGAAAAATGGCAGCTCAGCGAACAAAAAATAATCTATTAGTTGTTAATCGAGTAATTAAAAAATGGGACATCTCTGATTTTGGTGTGTTTGTTTTGATAAAAATGAGCGCAAAATTTCATCTCTACCGAGGGGGCAGCAAAACCACCAAATTACCTTGAATACGGGGGGTATTCATTGGATGAAAGGGACCGTGAAAGAGGACACTAAAATAGAAAGTTTTTCTTCCGACAGTTTCATCTTAGTATTCATCGTTGCTACAACCATCTATTTAGGCAGTGTATCAAATCATGTCAGTTAAAAAGTGTTCACACTCCCGCGATGTGACGTGAGAAATTTGAACTGAACTGTACCTGGATAGCGAAAAACTCCACTACTTGTAGTTCTATGGTGTACCTTTGAAATACTCTATAAGCAGTTGCTTTATGTGCAGTCTCAAAACTTTTTGAACTATTGGTGCTAGATTATTTAAAACACACATGCCCTAGTTACATCGCGACTGAACAACACGGATTTATGCCGAAGAGGTCGACCGCTACAAATCTCGTTCAATACACATCATCAATCATACGCGAGATTGAAGAGGTCATCAAGTGGATGCTATCTACACCGATCTTTCTGCTGCTTTTGATAAAATCAATCACGAGATTGCAGTGGCCAAACTAGAGCGACTTGGTTTTCACGGTTCCCTTCTTGATTGTCTTCGCTCATACCTCACCGGTCGACATATGTCAGTGAAGATTGGAGATCATTTTTCTCAACCGTTCGCTGTTTCTTCTGGTGTACCTCAAGGCAGTCATCTGCGATCGTTCATATTTGTATTGTATCTGAATGACGTTCACTTTTCGATCCGTTGCCTGACGCTGTCTTATGCTGACGATTTCAAACTATACTTTGTCATCAAATATCGAAAAGATGCATTGTTTCTTCAGCAGCAGCTGGACGATTTTACTGTTTGGTGTGACAATAACAGGATGGTATTAAATGCTTCTAAATGTTCCATTATAACGTTTTCCAGGAAAAAATCATCTATCTGTTATGCTTACAGCCTGCAGGAACAAATATTAAGCCGCGAATCTACCATTAAAGACTACTTGATTCACAACTCACCTTCAAGGATCATGTGGCTTATGTTTCCGCTAAGGCATCTTCTCAACTAGGTTTTATTTTTCGTTTCGCCAAAGACTTTAGGGACATTTTCTGTTTAAAAACACTCTATTGTTCGCTAGTCCGCTCCACATTAGAGTACTGTTCCGTAGTATTCGTATTGAGGCCATTCAGCGAAGATTTGTACGTTTCGCCCTTCGTTGGCTACCCTGGAGTGATCCTTTCAATCTCCCTAGTTGTAAAAAAAACTGTTATTAGATGTCCTTACTTAGTGTTCGCCGAGGCGTCTCTAAGGCTACCTTTATCGCTGATCTCCTGCGATCGGACATTAATTGCGGTTCACTTCTGCAGTAGTTCAATGTCAATATCAGACGCGTAAATTTACGTTCTTATTATTTTTTCTACATCCCGGCTTCTCGCATAAACTACGGCGCTAATGAGCCGTTAACTAGCATGAGCAAAATTTTCAGCAAATGTTATAACTGCTTTTATTTTAATATCTCCCGTGTTAGGCTCAAGAATCTGTTTTATAATGTACTTTTAACTTCCTGACGGTTTCTGTTTTCTGTATTTTAATTAAGTTATCATTAATATCTTTTTATATGTTTAGGACTTAGTTCAAGCAAATGAATCTGTAGGATTCCATGTTATCTGTTGGTACTGAAATGATTAGGTTTTGTGCCCACTAACGGGTGTTCAATAAAAAATGAGAATGATTTCAGTGCCGTCCAGCGCTCTTGTGAGAGCATCGCGACTAAGTTGCGTCGTACGGCCGACCAGGGCCCCTTCTCCAATATCCATTGACGTTTTTTGAAGAATAAACATTATTTTTTTTAATAAAAAATACTGAATTCGTTGAAAAAAATTTGTTTTTACTAGCTTTATGACTGAAAAAATTCTCATTTTTATTGAACACCCGTTAGTGTGGGCTTTTCCCTCCAAATAAATAAATAAATAGATTATATCCTAGGTACCTACATTAGCTCAGTTGGTAAATGCGCAGTTATAAAGCAAGACCATTCTGGAGGTAGCTTGTTTTCGGTTCCCAGTATGACCTAGAATTTTTTCGTTTGAAACAATTTCGCAACCTCCCTGGGCATAGAATATGATTGTACTTGCCACACAATTATACGAATGCAAAAATGGCACAGGCTTAGAAAGCACTCAATTAACAACTGTGGAGCCATATGGTCACCGTAGAACCAGTTCTATATATTCCGGATCATGGTTCTACATGGTAAAATTCGATAACTCTCATAACCATGCAGATCAAGCGATATATCAAATCACATCTACTCGACGAAATATGATAAATGGCATGCAAAACGTCATACATAGATATTACCATCGTAGAACCAGTTCCAGATGTTCTGGATTATGGTTCCACGTGGTCAAATTTGACATCTCTATTAACCATATCAAGCGGCATAGCCATATGATTCTCATTTATGATGGAGTTTGGAGTGCCATTGATCATATTTCAACGAATAGACGTGATTTGGTATGTCGCACGATATATTTATGATAGATAATAAATTTGATCATATGGAACCATATTCTGGATCATCCGGAATCGATTCTAAGGTAGTCATGGGTTCTTATGGTTGTTCTCTATTATTTCCAAGTAAAAAATCAATATGTTGTCGCAATGATAAGTAAAGATTGAAAAAAAACACCCCCGTGCTAACGCATTCATAAATATACAACAATGAGGGAGGGGCCTGAGGAGAAGTACCACACAACAGATGTGAGAACCACTTACCAAAATGATGTTTAAAAAATTTCAATTTAATCGGCCTTGGCATTTCTGAGATACACATTTTTGAAAATAAAAAGTTTGTCTCGGGCTTTTACGGGCTACAGCTGTATTACGATGCCACCATATTTATCAAAACATCCTGTAACATAATCACAAACACAAACTCATCAGTTTTGTAATTTTTATGCAAACTTATGTCCATTCTTTATAGATACGCACTTCCAATTTCTCGACTGTGCATTTCGATTATTGCTAAAGAACAAAAGGAAACACTTTTGGAAGCTTTGCTGAACACGTGCCGCCAGTGGTACCAAGAACGTGACAAGGTAACTGCAACAACAGACTGTAAACCGTTCCTCAATGTTTCAAGTACTTTGCTTGTAGGTCCTAGGCCCACCGATGAATCTTAAAAATCCATCTCGACCACGTTTCACGGCATTTATGGCCTTCCTGACGGAGATGTTCTGTCAGCTGAAGCGTCGTCAGCTGCAACTTCGTACGGAATGCGACGGTGTACCACCACCGATCGTGCTGCTGACCGTTCTAGGTAAATGCTGTGAGGATTGCGTCAAACCACCTGTTCGATCACTTTCGGAGGTATTGAAAATTACTTATTATGTCTTTAACAAATCTGACTTAAAAGTTGTTTCCGAAAATTTCAGATCGAATGCCTCTTCTTCGTGCTGACCTGCATTGGACGCGACCTGGAGACACATCTTCCACAGCAACTGGAAACCCTGCTGGCCGGAGTTCGCGACGCTTTCCTGAACTCATCCGCATCGGCTCCGGCCATCCGCCGTACGTTGTTGCAGCTGATCGAACTTCAAGCGTCCAGATGGCAACTGCCAGGCAACACCGTACTGTACTACTATCCATCATCAAAATAGATGGCACCTGCGCGTGTACACCGGATAACGAATGGATTGATGGACTGCCAGTCTGGTTGATTTTCGCACGCGAAGTTTCCTACCAAAATTCATTGAAATCTACTAACCATGGCATCGACGCAGGTGTTGGAGAATGGAGAAAACGTCGAACCAAACGAACAAAAAATATATCGAACAGTAGAAAAAGAGAACGAAACACACTGGAAGTGAAGCTACAAAACAAAAACGACACGATCAGACTACATTCCATCAAAACACTAACATTTTGAAGGCAAAGGAAAAGTTAGTAATTGTCATGTTAACCTTTTTGAACAGAATGCAACAATGGTCAACTTTTAGCTTTAAGGGACATTGATTTTTACGAACTCCTGAAACTGAAAATTATTTTCTTAAAAAAAAAACGAAATTAATCCTGTTGTGTTTAAACGAAACGATTTTAGAAATTTAGATACATTAACAAAAATGAAAATTACGGAACTAATCTCTGGAAAAAAATCTAAATGTAATGAACTAGTCATTTCTGTATTATATTGTTTAGAGTACCCAAATATTGAATCTGTTACATAAATTAGATAGAAAATAACGTTTAAAAATTCATGAAAAACAAACAATGACTGACTAACATCCTCGTGTTGCATCACTACTTGATAATTTCATTATGCATCAGAAAACGCACCGCGAAAGCTCTAGATATGTAGGTACCGTGTTGTGGTACCAGTGCACTTGTACAAGGCATGTCTATAATGTAATGTAACCCTTCGGCCCCTCGCCGGTGATGATAAGAAAGGCCCTCAGGGTAGTTAAATTATTTAACTTATTATTCAGATGCATGGTTTAGCAAATTAGATTGAAAATTGATGACAATGGAAAAGGTAGACAGCAGAAATACTAATTTCATAATTACGTGAGAAACTTGGTTGTACATGCTGTGAAAGGAAGGAAACTATGCACTGTCATTTAACGAAGAAAAAAATAAAAACAATTAGGAATGATGAATGGCACAGTAGGTATGTGCTTAATGGGCTCTGAACCAATCAGTGGATGTATTTTAAGTGCAGTTTGTGCATCTATGTGTCATAATGAGATTTTTTTCTAGGAAATAAATAGTTACGTGATCTATTAAGTAAAAACTGTATTTATTATTTGATGACCATCATGATTTTTTCCTGTGTTTGTCAGTCGGAAAATTTCATACTTAGCATCCTAAAGCTTTATTTTCTATACCAATATTATTATAATATTATACCAATCGACTCAGCTCTATGAGCTCGAAAAATGTCTGTGTAAAGGTATCTCTTAAAAAAAAACCCTTATTATAAAAAAAATAATAATTCACCATCGTTGAAAAAGCCACCTAACGGAAGCTTAAGCTCGCCTAGGCTAGTATCGAAATAGGATGCAACAAACATCAAATGAAAAGTTTCATGGTTTAATAAAATGTTTTTAAATATTTATAGAAGGCAAACATAGTTTTGCATATTAAAATCCTTTATTTAACCCTAAAATTATGAAAAATGATCCATAAAAAACATCCCAATGATCCACGATGCACAAATGGATATCCCTAAAAAAAGTGAATATAATCCATAAATAATATCAAAACCAGCCATACATCAGTCAAAAAATAGCAACAAAAAGATAAAAAAAAGAAACTTTTAATTGTTTAAAAAAGGTGCAATAATTATTATCGAATAATCCACAAATATTTGAAGAATGAGCCATAAAACGTTGAAAAATGAACGTTAAATAAACAAATTTTATCCACACAAAATAATTGTTGTTCTTTGATAAACCTAAGTTTGATTCACTTTTAAGGGGGTATTCCCAATCTTTTGCCTTTTTTCGGCCTGTTTTTCAATTATTTTTTTTTTCAAGGAAAATGAATAGTAATGCGCCTAACTCTTTGGGATTCTTGTTTATTTAACATTAAAGTTTACAAATAAATTTTTTTCGACATAAAAAAAGACATTATTGACGTCACAAAATGGCGGCAAACAGACCCCTGTTCGCCGCAAACGCCTGGACGGGCGAAGACTTTTCTCTGGAACGGCTTCATCTGAAACAGATTTCGTGATGAAATAATAATCTGCATAAGATTCTCTGGAGCTTCTCCCGTTGGCAGCAAAAAATCTAGCAAATTAACAAAATGGCAGCCATATGAAAAAACAGGCGATTTTTAGCCCGCTTTTTTGCAGCTTTAAGGTGCTTCAAACAATGTTAAATGTTAATATTTTTGGCTGAAAGTGGGAGAAGCTCCAAAGAATTTAATAAGGAACAAAATGCGCAAAGATTCAAGTCAATATCTCTTATAGTTTCTGAGAAAAATCTTCGCCCGATAAAAAAAATGTGGTTTCGAGAAAAACGCGTTTAAAGTTTTGACTTTAGTTAAAACCATTTGGGGGTTCTTACCATTAGTCAGCTATGCCTGGACACCGAATTCGCTGATCGGAAAACGGCTTGGGGGGATGAAAGTATATAGTCTAAAGTACAAAAAAACGTGAAAAAAAAAATTTGATTTTTTGAAAAAAAAAGATCGGGAATACCCCCTTAAGGCATGAATTTCCCACGATTTAATACACATGACCCGCAAATTTATTTATTTGTTATGACCCATATTATTGTTCAACATATTAGACGCATTTCGCGCCAAATCGAATGGAAGCTGGCAGCACCCTCTCAGATTTCAATAATATTTTCTGGATGTGTAGACTTTGACTAAATAAGCACTTTTGCATACTCAGTTTTTCCAAAATTTATCTAGACTAATATTTGAGAAGGGCCAAACTTTTTCTGCCGATTTTTTTCAAAAAAATGACAATTCCTACAAAAATATGTTGTATGGATGACTTTTAGGAAGTTGACCAAATTATCGAAAAAAAACACTGAAAAAAATTTCATGTGAGACCTACACTGAAAAAGTCGATTTTTTAAATTTAAAGTCGATTTAAAAAAATGGCCATGTTTGATTTGGATGAAACTTTGCCTCAAGATAGGTAATTATGTTTACTACCATCCGTCCATACATCGCGAGATGGGCGGCACTTTTAAGGAAAAGAAGTTTTTCTTACAAAAACATTTTCATGTTTGAACTGTTTTTTTTAACGTACCATTTTTACACAAAACTAAACCAGTGAAGCTCAAAATCATCTCAGAACCCAATGACAGGCTTGCAATAGCTCATTACAGCTAAAATGCTATTTTTCGTTATTATGAAACAATTGGATACTACATATAATGACAATTTTTATTTGTTAGATACAAGAAGAGGTGGTAAAGTTTGTATAAGACATATAAAATTTGTCAATTTTGCTTTCAGAAGGTCACATGGAAGGTCACAACGTGGCACTCTCAAGTGAATGGCAAAGAGAGCTAGTCTTGCTCGAGATTATGGAAACACCATAACAGCTCCACGAGAATTATATAACTGGGCAAACAGATAAAAATATCACAAAACTACGTTTCGAGTACATATCCACTGAACAGTACATCGAAATGTCAGAAGAACTCGAAGAACTATATAACAGCACAAAGACAATATCTGGCACACAGAAATTCCACAGTTTTGTGCCTATAACTGGTGACAAAGTAGCGGCAAAAAGGTATTCTAATTCAGAAGATGAACCAAACATATTTAACTTGATTGGAAAAAGTAAAAAAAAATAGCACGTATGAAAATAGGTTTAAAACATTGAAAATATATAAATAAATGATATATGAAAAATCTTGCCTTTTTTCTCTCACATATTATCAAATTTTGCATCAGCAGTAGACAACAGAATAAGGGAATGATATTTTTTGACAAGGTCTACATATCCAAATAGTTTTATTGAACTCTGAGAGGGTGCTGCCAATTCCAAATACGATTTGGCGAGAAATGCATCATGAGCCCTTTTCATATGAAATTCTCGATTAATCAAAGTGAACTTAAGTGCTGATTAGACAAAATTGAATCGCAAATTGAGCTTCATTGGATTCTGAGATGATTTTGAGCTTCACTGGTTTAGTTTTGTGTAAAAATGGCAAATCAAAAAACAAAATTCAGTTCAGACATGAAAAAGTTTTTGTAAGAAAAACTTTTTTTCCTTAATAGTGCCCATCTCGCTATGCATGGACGGTTGGTAGTAAACATAATTACCTATCTTGAGGCAAAGTTTCTTCCAAATCAAACATAGCCATTTTTTTTTAAATCGACTTTAAATTTTAAAAATCGATTTTTAATTTTCAGTGTAGGTCACAAATTAAATTTTTTCCAGTATTTTTTTTTTTCGATAATTTGGTCAATTTCCTAAAAGTCATCCATACAACACATTTTTGTAGGAGTTGTCATTTTTCCATAATATTTTTTTGAAAAAAAATCGGCAGAAAAAGTTTGGCCCTTCTCAAATGTTAGTCTAGATAAATTTTGGAAAAACTAGTGGCATATTTAGTCAAGGTCCACACATCCAAAAAGTTTCATTGAAATCTGAGAGGGAGCTGCCAGCTCCGAATACGATTTGGCGCGAAATGCGTCCTATATATAACATCCCTAATGACAAACACCATACCTGAAAACACAACACACATTTATTCACACTACCTATACACGTTTATAAGGAATAGAAGCAATGCTTTATCTTTAACTCTATGACTAGACACTGAAGAAGTTTGCAAGTAGTAAACGAAATACGCATCTGTTATAGTTCAAAGTGATAGTGAAAGTGAACTAGTGATAGTGAATTAGTGAAAGTGATACAAAAGTAGTAGAATTAAAAGGAAAAATCGACGAAAAAGGAATATTTGCTCAAAGATTACACTAGTCTTGAAAACATTTTACCATATATATTATATATTTTTAATAGCTCAGATTCATCGACACTTTGTTTAATGAAAAATACCGTTTTCAAGTTAATGACAACAATCATTGCAACCTTACACCGTTCGAAAAAGTAGTGTAAATTTCTGTTCTAAATGATGCACATAAAATAAGCGTCATATAGAGGAAATTGCTCTAATGTTGGCTTATGGATCTAAGATTATGCCCATCGTTAAAAATCTGCTATTTATCAATTTTATCTAGATGAACGCGTCATTGGGACGGTATTAATGGATATTTTTGGTCGCTATTGGAAATTTAGTCGATTGTTGAATTCATCTATGGGCCCAAATTAGAGCCATTTAGGCCGACATTGCATCCATTTCCCCTATCATATAAGTAACTATGCTGATTGTAGCAGGTTGATTCATCTTGATTCACTCAACGTTAAGAAAGATGTAGCTCGGCTCCGCAAAGCTACAGTAAATGAGCCTAGAAAAACAAACGCATTATAAAAAAAAGATGTAGCCAAAGCTTGTTTTGTTAGCGACTTACTAACATGAACATCCGCAGACGTGCCATTCGTTCGTTCCCATACGTTTCTCAATATACATAGCTAGATTTAGGACTCATTATGGAATGCACGATCTGTTTGATGTTTCATTTATATGTTACTTGATTTAAGTTAGTCATTGGGGTTGTTTTCACCTGTTGACTGTACATATAAAATAAATAAACTTTTTTGTCATGAAAAACTTGTCAAACCAATCATTGGAGTCTCACAATGAAATGCAATCAAGATTTATCTTAATATCTATTACTGAACATTTTCTTCGGTCCAACTAAAAACGCAACCCATAGTGATAAATTTCACACCGGTGATCAATTTGCCCCCGGATTACGGTACTTATGAAAAGGCAAATGAATCAGGATTCAGGAGTCATTTTAAGTATAAACATTAATTTTGTAATTCATATCTCAACTCGAACTTTGCACTAACCCTCAGCTTTGTGTTTTTTAGCATTTCCACTGTTATTTATCATGGAAATTCTAAACATTTATATTGCCGTGAACGTTGCTCGAAAACATTAATATTTCGACTGTCAATTCATGCCGTAAAACTTAAATCATCGAAACATAACTTTCAATTCCTTTAAACCACCCACAACAACAAGCGTAGTTTTTGAGTTACTGATAAAGACACCGATTACAGCTGTAAACCTAGCTGCCGTAAACCTTCATATGGGGTATAATTTAGCATGGCTTTTCTTTGCTCTAGATTCCGAACATGCCAAACCATGATAACGAGCCACAGTGAAAGGTAGAT